TATACAACTGAGTACATACAATGTGCTTCAAAATATCCCATAATCTATAAAAGCTTTTTATATATATATTAACCCACTGACGTGTGTTCTAGAAACGACGATTATCGTATTTCGACTTCAATCCCATGATTATTATTATTTAGTGTTCTGTCTGACGACAGGTCCATATGAACAGGTTCCTTCCATCCTTTTCTCGGACTGGGACCTGTTCATATACGTTCTTGGCAGATGATCCAGAAGTGGTTTGCCATTGCCTTCTTCTGTGTGTGAATGGAGTAATGACGACAGGTCAGGTCCATATGAACAGGATCCTTCGATCCTTTTCTCGGACTGGGACCTTTTCATATACGTTCTTGGCAGATGATCCAGGAGTGGTTTGCCATTGCCTTCTTCTGTGTGTGAATGGAGTAATTGTTGGGATGCCACGGAGAAACCGGGGAAGCCCCCGGAGGAAAACTCCGTGTTGCCTAGACCACGGCCTTGCCCAACACAAGTTATAAATTCGGGCACCGCCGGGAATCGAACCCGAGACCCCAGGATTACAAGTTCGATTCCCGCCTAACATTTTTCCCAACTGTATCCCATGATACAGTTGGGAAAAATGTTAGCATGTCTCGAGCAGTTGAGTCACAGTTCGGGTAGCAAATCGTGTTCAGTCGGAAGAGTTCGGCACTGAATGAGCCGGATGCACTTACCTATAATTTTGATCACAGAAACACTGCTTGCAACTATCATATCTTGCTTAAAGCAGGCGTATTTTCGTTACAAGACACTGTTAGAAAGGAAACTGATGTCGCTTCTTAGTTTTTAGTTTGTTCTTTTGATTTCAGTAGCAGTTCCATGACGCAGGTCTATCATGAACGGTCATTCACTGTCCTGTTCTTATGATGCGCCCTCGCTTATTTGACCTGCGTCCGTTTAAAATGGTTGGCATACCGGGCGGCCCAAAATTTACGTTGTTATCAACAATGGTTAAAATAAACGGATTCACAGATTTACAGCTCCGAACTGGGCAGTGCTTTCGGATTTCGTTATATGTATTTTAAAAAAGTCACAGTAATTTATTTAAAATCCGCCTAAGCCGTTCATTTTTGTCATTGCTTTTTAAACTAACTTATTTCTGCGCCACCCGGTATGCGACTGCCAATAACCTCAGCAACACAAATATGTCACAACAATGCGAACGAAAATGGTTGCATTTGCACTCCACACAGATGATGGATGTACAGTCTGATGAAGATCTTCCGAGTAGCAATGCCTTATCTGATCTCACTGATCTCACTTGACAAATGCAATGCCCATATCTCAAGATTATTAGCTTAACGTTAATTTATGTTGTACTAAGACTAACGGAACGGTCTATTGTTTAAGCAGTTTCGAAGAAGATGAATCCGACGTCACAATCATCGAAACGCTCAATCAAATCCCCAACATCATATATAAAGTACGAAGTTATGTAACAGTATTTAAAGAGTTTTTATTAAAAGTGTGGACAAAATAATAAACAATTTACATCTAGTTACATAAATATTACTTTCCTACGTAATCGTTCATCTTTTCAATCGGCTCCGTCGAAGGCTTCAGAAATTTCCTCTTTCGTTAAATATATATTCTTCCACCGTATAATTACTTACGCTAGTTTAAGGAGTAATTTCATCAATACTAATTATTACTTTGTCCTAGATACGCTGGTCTATCGGCTAGTTAATCTCAAACACATTACAGAGGATGAATTCCCGGAAGGCAGAACTCCCCTCTCCTGTGCTCCTTTGAATGTATTATCGGTTTTTAAACTTTAACCTTTCTCTAGCTCATACACTCATCGCCATACCGTACTGTAATTTTTACGTACTTATAAGTAGTTTTCACATTTTCTGAGCAAAGAACCTGGTCACAGATCGCTCTACATCTTTGTTTATCAACACAACAGCCTAATGAAATATCCCACTGCACTATCATTTCGAAAAAGACTATGAAACCAAACAGATTCAAATCATGGGAGGTTCATCTTGTTTAGGTCACCAAGTTTTCGTGATGATATCTCTTTTCCAGAAATATACAATTTATGTTATACCCAGTGTCTGTCATACTACAAGAACAGGGTCCTGGGATTCAGATTCTACTTAGTGGTACATTGCACCATTGGTCCAAATGACGATGACAGTGATCCCTTGCTATGTTTTCTTTCTGAGCGCACACATACGTATAATTATTCATATGTACGCCTACCAATTTTCATGCTTTTAATGAATCACAGAAGGATGCAGTATGTTGAGAAAATAAATATTGAATCTCCAGACATAATTTATATATTTATAATATATATAATTGTAGGGGTAGGGATCCGCAGTGGTCGCGCAGTCTGAGGCGCGGGCCTTATGCCGCTTGGTCGCTGGGACCGTGGGTTCGAATCCCACTCAAGCCATGGATGTTTGTCTGCGTTTTTCTGTGTTGTGCTGTCCTGTGTACAGGTAGAGGCCTTGTGACGGACCGATCCCTCGTCCAAGGAGTCCTACCAAAATGTCTATAGATCAAACCAACGAAAAATCGGGACCCGTGGTGCTCAGGCACTTGAAGAACGGGTCGTTCCCAGTATCCCTGTATATAATTGTAACACAATTATATACCTATTCGTTTTAATTCTTATGCTTTTATTAAATCATGAATACAT